TATAACGAAACATATGATATTATACCGAATATATATTTATAGATAATTCGACATATAATATAGACATTTTATTCATAATACTTTATATTTTTAGGTTTATTTTAAATCGGTATCAAATTAATAAAAATAAAATTTTTTTTGATAATTAAATATACTATTGTGAAGAAAAGATAAATCCTAATCATTGAATTTACTTCATATATAACATAATAAAGATCATATAGATTTTGCGTAGAATTTTTAATTTCTATCTTATAAATCCTTCAGAATACTAATGTAATTAATATAGTAACTTATATGAGATAAATAATAAAAATATTAATATAACGATAGCGTAGGTCTATTGTTTTTATGTTTCCTAAATAATGCTACATCTAGCAAACAACTATGTAAAAATTCATTTTATCACGTTAAAAGAAATAAAATAAACATTCGATATAATGAAAAAGAGTTTTTCGTAATTGTAAATTTTAAAATTCTTATGTAATTTAAAAAAATTCAATACACAATTGATTCCGTAAATGACACGAATGGTTTACGTTGTTTTTAGAAAGTATTTTGCAAAATGTAAAATTTAAATGGAAGGTTAAAATAGTGTGGATGAATTAAAAATTTTCAATGCTATTGCAATTCAATAATAACTTCGTAAATTAACGTTAAATAAAAACAAAATTATTATTATTAACTATATTGAAATTAGTTATACAAAAGAGTTTTATTTTTTCGAAGACTATAGCTTAAGTATTTGCATGCTTGTTAATTGTCAAAAGTTTTAAAAAGTTGTAAAAATCATGGTAGAATTAATAAAACTCATCAGTTTTGGCAAAGGCTTTAAGTAAAATGCTGATAGTTTCTCAAAGCTCTTTTCCAACTTGTTTACGAAATTTTAATTGCCAAGTGCATTATCAAGCTTGATTTTCTCTCCATTATACGTTTTCATGTGCGCTATGTGAAATGTAGAAAAAGAACCATCTGCGCGATGGAAGGAATTAAATCATTTTCTTGTATCCAGTCCGACATTATCCTGCAGACTGTAAAGAAGATGACTGCGTGCGGGTCTGTGTGTTTCTTTCCTTTATGACAAACCAATGGCAAAACTAAAGAATGTTTTTTGGCACTGAGCTTACTGCCGTAAATTTTCCTTATGCCTGCGCGTTAACCTATATAAGACAGGCGATATATTAAAGGTTTGTAAGTTTCCATTAGATTTTTCTGCATTTTTCCTATAACAACAGAGTTTCGTAGATCGAACACACTTTCTGACATTTCCATTTAAAAGTTGCGTGTGCGTGCGTGTGCGTGCGTGTGTGCGCGTGTCTGGTTTATCCAACCGCGATTTACACACTTATTTACAGTATTTCATAAAATTGTTTCAGCAATTAAATAACACCTTATCATACTTAAATACTTATAAATTAGAATTTATGTTCACAATTTTAATGTTAATATACGATCAATACCGCTTTCGAATTCTATGAAAATAAATTAAACAATATCATTGAATTCCTAAACTTCGACAAAATATATGCAAAGAGAATTAAGATAATTGTTTTAAATTTTTTCAATTAATTTTTACACATAATTCCGTTATTATATGCAACTAAAACAATATATATTTATTGTACATTACAGATGGCTGTAGCAGCCATTAATTTCAACTTCTCGGAAAACAAGTGATACGAAGAAAAGGTATAATAATTTGTTATTAGAGAAGACCCTAACTAAAAGTACGCAATAAAAAAAAATTTTAAACTTTAAGCGTTCAGGCGATGAAGTAACGAGATTCAAGTAAAAGTTTAGATTTTCAAACCGAGCATAATAAATATCGATTACCGGCACTTGAAGAATCAAGAAACTTCTTTTTATGAAAGAGCTGCACTAATAGTCGACATTCCAATATCGGTGAAGTAAGAGTTGCAGGTTCGTCAATGTGCCGATTATTACTTTACATATAAATTTATCTGAAATTTAGCAAAACCTTGCGAAGCGTGAATGTCATTTATTTATCTTTTTAATATATTTAATTTTATTTTTAATACCGTTATTAAATCCACTATTCATTACAGAATTTTTATTTTCTTAAGTTCACGCCGTTGGAAAGGAAATATAAACTGTAAAGAAAAAAAAATGCTTATTGGAAATGGTAAAAGCATATTATAATGGAATAAATTGTTTCATAAACGAAATAATTTTTGTAATTTTTTTTTATACTTTAAAAAATATAACGAAATATTACAGAAATATTATAAATTGTGGGAAAAAATTGAAAATTTTTAATTTTGTTATTTAACTAAAAATAAATTTTAATATTTCTTTTCTTTCGATACTGTTATTTTAATTAGTATTCATTTAACTTACTGAATATGAGGTATAATTATTTTGATTTTATCGTATTGATTTGAGTAATGGAATCTAAAATAGTACATGCAGATTGATTGAAGAAATTGAATTATGTATTGAAATATCTTAATAAAAAGTAAAATGTTTGATTGAAATTAATAGAGTAAGTTAAATAAATAAAAAAAAAAAAAAAAAAACTCACAGATTTATAGTATTATGAAGTAATTTATAGTATCACACAACCAGTTGCTATTAAATTTATTAATTAAATATTTCATTGATTTTCATGTGAATATACTTTACCTATCATTACAAATACGTGTAAATTTATCTATTATAATTGTTTCATGTATTAATTGTAAATTTAAAATAATTATATTTTCATGAGAATTTAAAAATAAAACTAATATCCATTACTATTTTTCTAAATATATAAAGTATCTATATATTCTATTTTAATATTCCTCCAAGGTATATCAATACGCGGCGATATATATATATATATATATATATATATATATAGATGTGTATATTTATTATTAATATTATAATATTAAATTTTGAGAGGAGGACTAAATATTAATAAAGCTACACTAATAAATTAGTAAATTGACAAATATATTAAAACAAGAAGACACGAGTGAATATTAAGAATTGAATAGAGAATGCAAAAATAAAAATAGAAAGAAATGAGTAATAATACGGAAAGAGCGACAATATCAACATTCTATCGGTATAGTATGTCAATTTTCAATAAATTAAGTACAGCTTTATAAAAAGAAATATGACGTGCACATAATGGGATGAAATTTTATTTGAATATTTGTTAGTACACGCTCCTAAAAATAGAAAAGTCTTTTCGCATGTACACAAAGTACGTGGATCCAGTCTTTTCGCGTGTAATCGAGCAGCTATATATTACACGGTGGCTTATCTTTGGTAGCGTAGCGAATGCACGCGAGCAAGGAGAAAGAGACAGAGGGAGTCGCGCGACAAAAGCACCAACGCCAATATAATATCACGCCGCTCTTTGCTCCCGTCCGAGATTTAGCGCGCGTCACGTGCCGCAGGACAGGATTATCGGATTTCCTCGACATAGCCAGCTGTAACATGAATCCTGCGCATACACAATTTTAATTCTCTGGCTCGATTTCCCACTCACCGACACTCGCACACGTGCTCTCTCTCTCTCTCTCTCACTCTCTCTCTCTCTCTCTCTCTCTCTCTCTCCCTCTCTCCATCTCTAATTTTATCTTTGTCTCCCTCACTTTCCATCTCCCGGCATCCCATCATTGCTCTATCTTACGGCCATATAATAAAAAATTAAGTAATGGAGATGTGGAAGCCCGACGGTATTTGTGAACAAGTTAAAAGGCAAGGAAGCTGAGAGAGCCAAAAAGTCAAATGGAAAAGAATGTCGTAATAAAGTTTAATTATTTACAAAATTAAAGCTCTCAAATAAGAAAATAGATGAAGGCTGGACTACTCAAAATACGCCAATTACCGCGAAATTGAAATACCCATCTGGAATATAATAGGGCTGGAAAAGGGCACGAATTATTGTACAGCGGATGAAAAAAAAAGGAAGAAAAAAAAAATGAGACGAAAGGAAGACGCGAATTAGCTAATATCGCTTGAAAGGCATGTTCGAGTGGCGACCAGGTCGAGGTGGGCAAGCGAAGAAAGCAAGAGTAATTCACGCGAAGACCGGTATCCAAAGTTTTAGAAGCTCTCTCGTAGCGTAGCGCAAGCGAATAATTGGCCCTAATTAGCAAGGCGACCCGGGTCTTGATATGTTTACGCAACGGGTCTTTAAGCTCCGAGACGCTACTCGCGAGCGCTAGTTTTCAACGCCACCAATTTCTCCGCGCACTCTAGCACCGAGCTGCGCGTCTGAGGGTCTTCC